CTAATTCAACAGCTCTGGATACAGAAATCTGGCTTTCCTGTAGCCCTGTGACTTGCTATTGTTCTTCTGCCTGGACATTTTATCTCCCCTTCAGATTCCTTGTTTACTGGGCAATATGAGTGCTTTGGGACAGGGACTGGTCCTTACTCTGCATCTGCACAACGTACAGTACAATGAACCTCCTGCCACCTGGGTCGTGGAGGTTAATACAGCTGTGGGCATGTCCCTTGTAGTTGGAGGTGACAGTGCTGTAGATGAACATAGAGAGACCTGCATGATAAGCACTTTCTGTTGCAAACTTAGCGTGAGCCACGCTGTGCTGCTGCTGCACCCAACTTCTTGAGGTCTTTCCCAGGCCTTCCCTCCTCCCTGCGGGAAGAGATGGTTTTAAGACACTTCTATAATATCGTATTTTCAAAGGCAGTTGTGTGTTTGGTCAGCCTGTGGTGTAAACTAGAGCAGCCTACGGGTTGCAGTAGCTGCCAACGGGCCTTGTTCCAATAGGAAAAAAACCCTAAAAATCAAAGTACCGCAGTACAACAGCTTCTCTTTCCCACAGAGGCACCCTCTGCCTGGGATGTAAAGATGACGATGTAGCACCAGACTATTCTGCGTCCCCCGGTGCCCACACAGTATTTTGGGAGGGGTGAGGAGAGAGAAAGGTGGACTCCACTTATTATTAGCTTTTTTATTCCATTTAGATTACCAGAATAAAATAAAGAGGCTGTATTGCAGCAATCGGCCAGGCACAGTGTATTGGCCTAAACTGCATCTTCAATCAGGTCAGAAGACACATGGTGGGAATAGGGACTACTTTTTGTCTCTATAAATAGCGAAGTACTGACTGCTCAGATAAATACACATGTATAAATGAACAGTAAACCTGGGCTTAAAGAGAGACTAAAGCAAACACTAACCTTTTTATAGTAACTTATAACAAAGATTTGCCTAGATGGCAGGCTTGTATAAAGAAGTAAATTATCCTACTTCCTAACAGGAGCATAGAGATGCTCTACAGATTGGCTTATAGAGCAGCCTCTCCAGTAAACAGATGTAGTTCAGAAAGAAGTGAATAACATTTATAAAAAATTAAGCTATAGGTCAATTAAATCAATAATAAAACATCACTCAACGACAGGACAAACTGGCAAATATGATGGAAGTCCATTTTTATTTATAAAGGATTTTTATTGCTTTATGGCAGCTGTCCATGCAAAAGCCTTTAACGCTCCCTGTGTGTGGCTGCTGGTCCCTCTGCCCTCCTGCGGGGCATCGGAGGGCCAAGGCGTGCTGCAAGGGCGTGGTGCTCCGCTCGGAGGAGATACCAAGAGCACTCCAATAAAACACAGATGCTGCAGCCTCAGCCAGCTTTGAAGACTTTGAAGATAATCACACCTTGAAATCACCCTGGGGCATGATGTATTTGCAAAGGAAGAAGTCAAATGTTGATTAAAGAAGGCAATAATACTATTAATTAAATGGTAACAAAGTCCTACTGCTCTTCAGAAAGAGGAAGGAAAAGAAGAAATGCTGTTTTCTTTCCCTCCTCACGGTCCTGCTGCAGCTTGTTTCACCCTCCCTGGCTCCTCACCCTTGCAGTAATGCTGTCAGCCAGGAGGAAGCCCATGGAATGACGGGGCTGTAGGACTGCTCCCAGTGACCGGTGTACTGGACCTATGGTTTCCATGCCATCAGACTTTATTAAGGTTATGTTTTGAGCCAAAATTCTAAATGACAGCACTGAAGACATCAAGGGAAGCTCCTGCAGGTGACTGAGAAACAAGACTCAAACCCATACAGCATATAAATGCAAAGGTGATCAGAGGGCTGGAGCACCTCTCCTATGAGGGCAGGCTGAGAGAGCTTGGGTTGTTCAGCCTGGAGAACTAAAGACTCTGGGGAGACCTTATGGCAGCTTTCTACTATCTGAAGGGGGCCTACAGGAAAGCTGGCGAGGGACATTTTGCAAGGGCATGTAGTGACAGGATGAGGGGTAATGGCTTCAAACTAGAAGAGGGTAGATTTAGATTAGATATCAGGAAGAAATTCTTCACTCTGAGGGTGGTGAGGCACTGGAACAGGTTGCCCAGGGAGGTTGTGGATGCCCCAAATCTGGAGGGGTCCAAGGCCAGGCTGGATGGAGCTTTGAGTAACCTGATCTAGTGGGAGGTGTCCCTGCCCATGGCAGGGGGGTTGGAACTAGATGATCTTTAAGGTCCCTTTTAACCTAAACCATTCTCCGATGCCTTTCCAGCTGGAACACAAGCCTGGGGAAACACCACTATGAACTTGCTGTCTTACTGTAGCCTTTCCTTAGCAGCCCATGCCAGCTGGAGCCAGAGAGACAGTGCAAAGCTGATGCTGTTTGCAGCTCCACTGACTTCTTCTGGAACCTGGGGGCTCTCTTGAAAAAGCTTTTGCATTGGCAAATAGTTGGATCCATTACCATGACACTCAGTCTTCCTCCCAATAGGAAAAAAAGTGGCCGTTGCTCTCTGTGCTTACAGCTCTTCAGGAATTTTCTAGTTGCCTACAACTGAAAAGAACCCATAAAATAGCACGTCCTTTCACAGCACGCATTTGGGGCTCTTATTCCATGGTCAGATGCTCGAGATTAACTCAGTCCTGTGAAACACCTTTAGATACTGCCCTGCAGGAGGACCTGAGGTGTGCATGTGGAGATGGATGTCAACCTAATACCTGAAGCTCGGTGGAGACTGAGGCAGAAGAGGCTGGCTTTGGGGCTTGTGTGGGAGAAGAGGCTGGTGTTGGGGCTCACCTGAGTGGAAAGAGGCTGGTGTTGGGGCTTGGATGGGAGAAGAAGCTGGTGTTGAGACTCACTTGGGTGGGACAAGACGTTGGTGTTGAGGCTTGGGTGGGAGAAGAGGCTGGTGTTGGGGTTCACTTGAGTGGAAAGAGGCTGGTGTTGGGATTCACTTGGGTGGAAAGAGGCTGGTGTTGGGATTCACTTGGGTGGGAGAAGGGGCTGGTGTTGGGGCTGGCTCCGGTGGCTAGCAGAGGCAGCATCTCTTGTCCCACAACCTCGAGCTTGCCCGTTGGGCCTCCCGAACTCGAGGACAGCCGCACC